CCCCCCCCACGGCCACACATGCGCGCGCCCTGCACCTTCCCCCCCTCCCCCCTTGGTTCACACGCTACCTCCCTGCCCCCTGTCCCACCGGCCTAGACCATGATGTCGGCCCCACCGCCATCTACCGGCAAAAGATGATCGTCAAGCGCCTGCTCTTGATGACCAGCCACCTGATCGCCACCGCGGCGGCCTACCTCCGCCGGTGGCCATGCTCCTCGGGCGGTGCGTCCCCGCGCGCCCGGCCGGCCACCCTGCCCTCGGCCCCCTTTTGACCCCCCGTTGCCGCGCCCCTCCCTCCTTTCCCGATCCGCGCCCGGCCGGCCTCAGACGCCCCCCTCCCCCGCATGCGGGATCCCTCGGCCGCGAGCTGGGCCCCCCTGCTGCTGGCGTACTGGACGCACCTGGCCCCGGTGATGAATGCCGCGGCCCCGGTCCACCGGCAGGCCCTCTCGCACATCATCCACATCGTGGTGGCCCTCCCTGAGGATGGTGCGTGTCCCCCCCCCCCGCCCCCACCGTTGGTTGGCAGCCTCCCCTTGCCCGGCGCCCTGTGCACCCGACTCAGCCCGCCCCGCCCTCCCCCCCCACAGGCCCCCTCGGCCCGAGCGCGGGCCCCCTCCAGCAGATGCTCCTCCTGCTGCCGGCCGACGAGACCCCCTCGCCGGGGGTGTCCCCCATCGGGGCTCTGTTCGGCCCGCCGGCGGAGAACTACCCGACGCTGGTCTTTGACCGCCTGGCGGACGGCCGCCAGCCGGCCCCCACCCGGGACACCCTCCACCGGGATCTCCTCCGCGCGCAGGCGCTCCCCCGGCATCCGGCCGCCTCCCGGGCCCGGACGGCTTCGGGCTGACCTGGCCCCCGCCCTCGGGCCCCCTCTCCCTCCGGCCGGCGAGGCTGGCCTGCCGCTGTTCACGTTGCGCGGCGCCCGGCCGGCTCTCTGCCGGGCCCAGCCCCGCGTGCCCGCTCCGGGCAGCCGCAGGCCCTCCTCGCGGGATGTTCCCTTTCCCCCGGCGGGACCCTCTATGGGGCCTGGACGCAGGCCCCGGCCCCCGGGCGCGCCGCGTTCACGGCCACCCTGTGCGCCCGCGGGCCACCCTCGGCGCCCATGCTCCAGCTGACGGCCACCCCGGCCCCGAGCCCGGCCGCCTGCCACGCGCCTCTTCGACTCGCCGGCTGCTCGGTCCCCCTCGGGCTCGTGCCCCTCCCGGCCCCGGGGGTGGCCTGGCCCAGCGAGGCCCGGGGCTTCTTCCGCCACGCCGGCGCCCTGCCCTTCGCCCTGGGGCCGCTGTTCCGGGCCCCGTCCGGGCCTCGCCCGGCGTCTCCGGGCCGACGCGCTGCCCTCCCCGGCGTGGTGTGTCCCTGGCCCCTGCTCCTCCGCTGGGCGCACCGAGCCCAGCCAAGCGCCAGTCCGGCGCACGGGGTCCGCCTCGTGTGCGCGCTCCCCCTTGCCAGCCAAGCCCGGGCCTTTTTTCTTTTTTCCCCCCGCCCCCGGCACACTGTGGCCCCCCCCCCCCCTGACAAGCTGCCTTGGGCATCCTGAGCTGAGTAATAAAGCCGCATTTCCGCCCATTTAGACCGCCCGTGGAATGTCCCCCTGGGCGTGGTGCGCCAGGTGTTCCCCAAACACCGCAATGCCCGCCGGACGTGGCTGGGGGGGTGCTTGCCGCATATTTCAACGATTGGGTGGATGGCCCCGGCCGGGATCTCCTCGGCTGCGGGTCTCGCCCACATGTGCCCCGGCAGCGCTGCCTGTCGTGCATTCCCCTGCCCGCTGAGCAGTTGGTGTGCACATGGCCGCTTTTTCGCGCGGCGTCACATCCCTCCCGGGGACCCCAGCGGCGCGTTTCACCGGCAGGCGGCTCGACGCCGCCCCCTCCCCCGGGCTTGCCCCTGTGGCCCCCTAGCCAGATGGCCAACATCCCGCCATCTGCCGGTGCATCCCCCCATTCACGCGGCGAGTGGCCCCCGCATCAGAGCCCCCCTGGTGGTCCTCCTTCCACACCCACAGCCCGGGGCATCGAGCTTGGCACATGTGGCGGACCGGCGCCGCGTGCCCTGCGACTGCGCCACGCTCGGCCCCCTGTCTCTTTCGCCGTCGCCCTCGCTTCTTTTTTCTCGCGTTTGCCCGCGATGCCCTTCGGTCCCTTCCATACCGGGCAGGCATCCGCCACGTGCGCCCTCTCGCGGAGGTGGCTCCCATCCGGGTTCGGTTCCGGCTGTGGCTCCTGCCTCCTTGAGCTCCCGTGGCCCTGCCTCACCAGCCCGAGGCCGAAAAGCGAGCACATGCTCGGACGGCCGCTCGGCCAAAGCAACCTTGCAAGATGGGCCCGCGGCCCTCGCCTCGGCGTGCCGGTGTCCCGCCTTCCTCCACTGTGCTGGGGGACCCATGCGCAGGTACACACCGCCCGGGCTGTCCACGCTCGCTGGTTGCCGGCACACCCACCCACACGCGGCGGTGCGCCCTCATGTGTCCACCGGAGGGGGGGCGGGGGAGGGGACTCACCATCGGAAGGGGCCCATCCTGTCCAAAGACAACTCAGGGGATATGTCCATGCCAGAGATGGGCAAAGTAGGCGCGAGCTTGGGCCCGGGCCTGTGGCAAGTCCTCGCACACTGTCGGACACCGAGGCAATGCGTGCACGTTTGGGTATGTCCACAGGGCAGGAAGCACGGCAAGGGGTGGCCCCGAATGGGTGAGAGAGAGGGAGAGAGAGAGAAAGAACGAGCGAGAGGCGAAGCTCCCACCACCGGTCCTTTCAGCCAACAAAGTGCACGCAAGTAGGTGACCCACTCAGGCATCGACAGGCGTTCCGAGAGCGCGGGTCGCCTTGTATGTGCGCATCGAGGGCTGACAAAGGGGGCTTACCGAACCCGAGTCGGACACACTGGCGGCTGCATCCTGGCACGGAACTTGCCCGCCCCTGGCATTTGCAGATTGCCAAGTGCCGTGTGCACCCCGACCGAAGCCAAAGGAGGCGCCCGCGCGCCGGGACCGAATGCGCAGGCCAGTCGACAGACACCCTGGCCGGTGGCCTACGCAATCTCCGCATCTCCCCAAACGCGGGCTCTCTATGTGCACATGGATCCTTGCGCCGTGGCCGGTGCGCCCTTCCACACCGCCTGCGGCTGAATGTCCACCACAGGGCCTCGACCCATTGTCGGACATGAGATTGGGCGAAATGATTAAGCCGAACTGCAACCTAAAAGACGCCCAGAGGCGGGCAACAACAACAACAACAGCAAAAAGAAACCCAAACGCAGCGCTAGCCGACCGCATTCCACGAAGGGCCCATCTGGGCCGACCATTAGTTGGAGCCCCTTAAGCCAACTTGTTTGGACTCGGTCGCTTCAGGGCGGCAGCCCGGTTACCAGGTGGTCCGGGGCGAACATTGTCCCCGGGTGCCTTTGGAAGGTGCTGGCCATCGGTGCTTTGACTCTGCGGGAATATGGCCTTTCTTAAGCGGCCATATTGGCCATGCATGCCCAAGTCCCCGGACTTGGCGCGCGCAGACCTTGTGGCTCTGTCCTCCCCCGGCGCCCATGAGGCCGGACTCTCTGAAGAGGCTGCTCGCTAGCTGAGCAGGCATGAGCACCGCCATGTCTACCCTCGCTTCTTGTCTTTGTGTCGGCACAGCAAATACCCTTACAACTGCCTGCTACACAAGCCGCACAGCCTCCATGGAAAAGCGCCCCCACCAGGCCCCCGACCCGGGCCCCGGCATGGGCGCCCCCGCATGCCGACCATCGTCCGGCCGTGCTGCGCCGGGTTCTGCCCCCCCCGGCGGCACCGGCTTCCAGCCCACTCCCGGATGAACATGTGCCGGGCCGGGCTCTTCAAATGGCACGACCGTAATTCGCCTAACGGCTTCGCCCGTCGCCTCCCCGCTGCCTCTCACCGGCTCGAACACATGCTCGGCTATCGCCCCTTTTCCTCCTCTACCTCTCTCTCCCTCACGCACACACAAGCACACAAGCACACAAGCACACAAGCACACAAGCACACAAGCACACAAGCCCACAAGCACACACACACACACACACACACACACACACACACACACACACGCAAGGGGGCCCCCTTCGCCGCACCTTCGACCAATGTTCCAGCGGGCGGCCGTCATTCGTCCAGGACGCCCACTGGGCCTCCTCCTGGCCTTACTGATGCATAGCCTCCTCTGGTGGGCTGGCCGCTGCAGTGACACCGTGCCCCGCGCCGCGGACTTGGTGTACTTGCGCGCGCCGGCCCAGCTGGCTCCCCTGTCCGGGCTGGTGTTCGAGCAGCTTCGCCTCCCGGGACTGAGCCATGCCCGGCGCACGGACCCCATCGACCTGACCAGCGATGTTTTCCTGCAGGATGGTACCAACATGACCGCGCATTCGGAGCATCGCATAGGGGCCGCATTTTCCGGCCGATCGCCAGTGCTCATTGGCCAGCGCCCGATGCCCACCCCGCACGATTACCAATTGATCTTCCCCCAGACTACCACCGATCGCATGGACGTGGTGGCCTTTTCCCCGGGCCGGGTGCGCATCCTGTCGCCCAACCACACGCAGGATTACCAGGACCCCCTGCTGACCGGGGTCCTGGCCAGCTTGCACCTGCCCGGACACCGGCAAACCGCCCTGATGATGGCCCGATTCGAGTACTACTGGGCCCATCTCCTTCTCGATGGCAATGCCGGCATCCTCACCGGAGCCGATCGGGATCTCTGGGCCGACGAGCAATTTATCAGCTCCACCGGGCTCGGGCCGGCCTTTCACGCCTCCTGCGATTGGGAGTACGCCACCGTGCGGGCCCATGACGCCGAGCAAGTCCACTTTTATTCGGACCTCGGTCGGAAAACCACGCAGGCACTGGCCACGCGCTTGTATTCCACGGCCCCGGACCAGGAGGACGTCATCCACCTGAAGACCGACTCCACGGTGCACGTGTGTCTGGGCTTCCGCCCGGAGCCGGATCGCGAGACCTATGCCTGCTCCCTGGGCGAGATCCACTTCAGCCTCCATTACATGGCCTCCGAGAAAGTCCGCTTTATCAATCCCCCCTCACTGGGCATGCCGGCTCCCATGGACCACCTGCTGCTCTGGGACTACAGCTACTTCCAGCTTGTTCGCATCAACTTGGACTTCACCCAAATGCAAGCCACCCACTTCCAAGTGATCACCCTTCCCCCCACGACATCCCCCCAGCTGCAAGAAGCTCCCAGTGTATTGGCCTTCCCGGGCCCGGATGGATCCATCGCCTGGCGTCTGGTCGTTGGCGATCGGATTTTCTTCCACCCCGCCGACTTCCAATGTCACCAGGACACCTCGATCCTTTGTGCCGAGCGCCCGAACGAAGTGGACTCCCAAATGGGCTGGCGCTGCGCCCCCGGTCGCTTGTACACGCCGCTCGGCGATAGCCGGCTCCTGTGCGGTGCCTGTGCCGACGGGCACACCACGGCCTCGCGGCCGCTCGCCGAAGGTCCGTTCCCCTGCCCGCCCCCCCCCCCCCCCTGAAGCCGGCCGGTGAAGCTCCTCCCGCGGAGCTGGCAGCCGAGGCAGTGCACCGCCCTCCGGCGGCCGCTCCCCCCCCCCACACACACACGCCTCTTGGTCCTTGGCCTGACCTTTCGGCCCGACTGCCTTCCGATGCATGTGCCGGGGGAACGGGTGCAAGAAAAAAAATAGCCCCCCCCTCCCCCTCCCACAAACAGCCAATGTTCACATTCTCTGCCCCCTGACCGCCTCCCTCGCGCCCCCTCCGGCTGCCCGAACCCTACTTCCACGATGCCCACAGGTCACTGCGAGCCCTGCCCCGTCGGCGGCTGCCGGGTGTGCTCCGGCGAGCAATGCCTCGTCTGCGAATGGCCACTCATGCAAGTTGTCGATGCGCACACGGGCATTCCCTCCTGCCAGCAAGCTTGCCCCAGCGACACGATAGCTGCCAATGGTCTCTGCCTCCCGGCGGTGGAAATCATCCGCCTGGATCTTGACTGGCGTCCGGTGGCCGTGGACCTGGGCCACCTCTCGCCGCCGGCCACCATCTTGGCCGTGGCCAGCTCTCGCATGGTGCCCACCGACACCGGGCGGCTGATGCTCCAGGCAGCCGCCTCGGCCGTCCAGGCCCAGGCACTGCTGTTTGGCGCGCCGGGCCAGGTGCTGGCTCTCGTGCCCGGCCCTGCCGATGCATCCCATCACGTCCTCGATGTCCTGGGCTTCCCCTCCTCCGGGCAGGTGGTGGCCATGGTCGAGGTGGCCCTGCCGCCGGCGAAAAATGCCTGGCCGGCCCTGGGCCTGGTCCTGTGCCATGCAGATGGCCTGGTGCTGGGCCTGGTGGCTCGCTGTCGGTCGACCTCCCCCCCGGCGGCCGGTGGCCTGTGCCCGGCCTCCTTCGAAACCCTGTACACCGGGCAGCTGGCCGGGTGCAGTGCCATGCAAGCCTCCAGCCGGGCCGTCAGCCTCCAGCACCACGGCCAGTCGGAGGGTCTGCTGCTGGAGTTCGATCCAACCGGCGAGACCCTGCGCACCGTGGCCTTCGCCAACAGTGCTGCTCACCCGGCGCACCTGGCCCGCTCGGACCCGGCCATCGGGCGACTGCTGCTTGTCGACGGAGCCGGCCACACTCGCATCCAGCCGGACACTTTGACATCGGAGGATGGCCGCCTGGCCGGTTTGTTGGAGGCCCGCGCCGGGCCGGCACTCCCCGGCGACCATATCGGCCTCCAGGCAGTCACACTGCCCGTTCACCCGGCCGCCGGGTCCTCGGACCAGGTCTTCTTCAGCTACCTACTCCCGGCTCCCGATGGCCACCTTGCCTGGCGCATTGAGCATCTGCCCGAGGGGCTCCTGCCCCATGGCCGGACTGTCGGCCTGCCCGGCAATACCCGGGACTTGGCCCGCCTTCCGGCCGATTGGTTTGATCTCAACGCCCCGGAGCGGCTGGCCCTGCGGCTGCTGGTGGTCCGGCTCCCCAGCACCGACTATCCCAGTGCCCTGGTCCTGGTCAGCCAAGGCGGCATGGCCGCGGCCCCGCTCTATTGCCACCCGGCCAGTGGTCTTTGCTGGCTCCAGCCGGCCCGCATGCTGGCCATCCCCCCCGGCACCGGGCCCGGGTCCCTGGAGGGGCTGACCGTGGCGCCGGTGCCCGGCCCCGGGGCCGCCACCGACGGCCTGTCGCTGCTGCTCCTCGACCAAAGCAGTCACCTATGGAGCCTGGACATCGCACTGGTCCCCTGTCCGGACGGGTCCTTCCCCGCCCTGTCGGCCTGCCAAAAGTGCCACCCTGCCTGCTTCACATGCAAGGGGGCCCAACCAAACATGTGCACCGCGTGCCATGCGGACAGGCTCCTCTCCACTGCCGGACGATGTGTCGAGTCCTGCCCCCCCGGGGAGTATAACCCAACCGGGGAGCCCGTTTGTCATGCTTGTCACGCCACATGCGTCGAGTGTTCCGGCCCGGCCGGCAACAACTGCACCGCATGCCCGCAGCCGATGGTGCTCTTCCGCGACACCTGTGTCTCCTTCTGCCCGTCCCCCTCGCAGCTGTGCCAGCCGGCCGCCGAGTGCATCGAATGCGCGCCGCACTGTGCCGAATGCCTCGTCCGCCCACTCGACGCCGCCCAGACATGCACCGATGAGTGCACCTCCTGCCAGGAGGGATACCTCCTGGCAAATGCCGGCAAGCTATGTGTGGCGGCCTGCCCCTCCGGAACCTTCCCCGATTGGCCGGCCGATCATGGCCCGGTGCCCAGCTGCCTGCCCTGTTACGCCGGCTGCCGGGGCGAGTGCACCGGACCGGACCCGGCGCACTGCCTCGCCACAGGCAAGCAGGTGGATGCCGCCGTGGGTGCGTCCTCTGATGGGCCCTCCCTTGTGGCTTGGGCCTTTTCCTGCCCCGCCCATCGCCCGCCCGAAATGCAACACCCTCCGGCCGCACCTGCGCCGGCAACACCCACCACCGGGCACGCGCGCCTGCCTGCCCGGCCGTGCACCATGGCCCCGCTAGACCCCCCGCCATAGCTCGCACTTACTGACCCCCCGGCCTTGGCCATGCTTCGCTGCTCTCCGGCCCCTTGCCCCCTTTCGCCTCCATAGCCGTGGGCCTTGGACTGACCCTGGCATTCTTGGTGCTTGGCATGCTGGCCTGGTTTGTGTACCGCCACGTGTGGCTGCCACGCAGGCAGGCCGGCATCTTTGGCCCATCGTACGATGCCAAATTAGCCGAGCCCATGTCCGGCGGCGCGGCCGACGACATGGCGGCCGCCGCTGACGACCGGAGTGAACCGCTGTTGAAGGAGGAGATCTACCTTTGACGACATGCCCAGGGCCGGGTCTTCGCACGGGGATGCCGCACATGGGTGTCGTAAGCTGTGCTCGTCGCCCGGGGCCGCGAACCTCTTCCTTTTTTTTTCCACCCCCACCGCCAGGCACCTCGAGCGAATACACCGACCGCGGGTCGTCCCCCCGGGCAAGGTTCCCAATACGCCTTTCTCCTTCCCGCTTTTTGGCCCATGCAAGGGCCCACTCATGTGGGCTTGCCGAAGGTGAGTGGCCGCTCGGCGTCGGGCGCCTTTGGCAGCGCATGGCGGGCCATGGTTTCCCCGGGGCAGGGCCGCGCGATGGGCCCATATGCGCACATATTGTGGGGGCTTGGTTTTCTTCGGGAAAGGGGCCGGACCCGGTCGAGCTGACCATGGCCAACACAGACCGAGCCCCGGCCGGGCCCACCCGAATGGGCCAGGGCGTGGCCCCCCGGCCTGCCTCCCTGCCAGGGCAGGAGGCCGGCCGAGGGCCAGGCTGCCCGGCAGCACGGGTCGCAGCTTGCCATCGCTCCTGCGCCATGCCCATCCGGCCTGCCCTACTGCCCAGTGGGAATGCACCGCCCTGTGGCCACCCGTGCGCGCACATCGGCCGACATCACCCGGTCTACCCATACGCCGGCACGTGCACGCCGGAGCCGCCAAGCCATCTGGCCGCCAGCGCCCATGCAACTCGAGTGCATTCGCCTCCCGGCCACAGTGCCGTGTCACGAGTATCCATTGGGCCCGCACCACCGCCCAAGGAAGCCCCGTGGCGGTGGTTCCCCCGCCCCCCCGCCCCCCTGGCGGGTGATTTGCCAGCCCGGCGTCGGGCCATCCTCCGCAGGCCCAGAGTTTCCCGGGGGGTATCCCGGCATCGGCCCTCAGCGCGCTCCGGCCATGCCTGGCTGCCGGGCGGCCCCGCCTAGCCGGGCTACAAACGGCGGGAGCCCCTTCGGACCTTCGAAACAGTGCCATGCTCCCCGTCGGGAGGGTGCCCACGCTACTCGGGACCCGGCATCCCGCCCATCGCCCATGACCTTTGCTCAAGCCTTTTGCTTGTACCAAGCAATCGACCTCCCCCCCGTGTGTCGCGCATCCCGCCGTGCCTCTGCTCGGGGGCCACGACTTCCGGCCCGACCTCGAGCCACATCTCGCGATGGCATGGCAGGCCGGCGGCAGGGACTCCCTCTGCCCGGGCGCATGTGCCTTCCTCCCACCCCCCCCCCCCCCCCACACAAGCCAAGTGGTGGCGTCCCTTTCAAGGGCGCGCAAGGCAGCCGCGCGAGGCTGGACAGGCTGCCCGAGGGCCGCACCCAGCGGGGCAGGGCCGCCGGCCCGGCCATCGACAGGGACCAGGCGGCCGCCGGTTGCCCATGGTGTTTGGCCGGCCCCGGGCCGCCGGGCCGTCCTCGCGCCCAGGAGGGCCCTGGAGCCGGGCAGCTACCCTGGCAGCCGGCCGCGCGGGCCCGATCCCGGAGCCGCGCCTTATGCACGCTTCCAGGGGCTTCGGCTGGACTCGCTCGCTCCCCGGGGACCGGGACTTGCCTGGTGTCGCATGGGATGGAGCGCCGTCGGGCCGCCGGGCATCATGCCCGGGTGTGTGTCCCGGCCGCCGGTAGGCGCCCAGGCCCGACGCCAGTCCCGCCCATTGGCGCGTGGCCTGCCATGCGGAGATCGCCGTCCCGGGCGATCATCGACCCCGGCGGTGCTTGGCGGCATGTGTGCCTCACGGCTGCCCGCGCGAGAGCACCCTCTCGCCAGCACATCCCGACCGGTGCATCGGCGATTGTCGCCGGCGCCCGGAGGGGCCGGTGCCGACCGTCCGGCCGATGCTCCCGCGTGTCGGGCCTAGCTCGCTCAACGCGTCTTACCCGCCCGGAGCCGGCCGCCCGGATGCCCCCCTTCCCTCGCGCCGGGTCGCCCGCGCCGGCTTGCCTCGCGCCTTCCCGGCTGTGCCCATGGCCTGCTGTGTCGGATGTCCATCGCCGTGCCCTATATGGCCCGCGCAGATGGCTCGCCTTTGGGGCAGGTGTCCTGGGCGCCGGCCCGCCTGCCCCACCATGTGCGGGCCGCCCCGGCCCCCCGCCGGGCTCCATGCACCCCGGCACCGCCGTGCCGGAGGCCCACGCTCGGGCTTTCCCACGGGCCCCGCCCGGCGGACACGCCTCCTCGCCACAGTGGGACCTGCCCTCCGAGCGCCGCCCCCCGCAGCATGGTGTGCCGGGCCCCAGCCGGTGGCCGGGCTGAGGGGGCCTCTCTTCGGGCGCCCGGTCCCCGCGGCAATGCTGGCCCACGCTCGGCGCCGGAGTTCACCGACCCGACCCCGCGTAGGGCCCCGGCCCACCGCCTCAACAAGCCACCGGGCTGCCCCTGCCCCGGGTCCGGAGCGCCGCCGCACGCGCGCAAAGCCCCCCCCGGCGCCCCGGCGCCCCGGCCCAGGGCAGGGCGTCGTGCGTGTGCGCCCTCCTGCCAGGCGCGGACCACCGAGGCCCCGCGCACCGGACCAGCCACCCGGCCGCGGCCCCGGTCCAGATGGCCAGCCTCGGCACCCCGCGCCTCGCGGGCCCAAGCGCGCGTATCGCCCCGCCCGCGCGGCGTCCGCCAGAGCACCCGGTCGAGGCCACCCCCCCGCCCCCCTCCAGGCACCCGCGGCAAGAACGGCAGACACACCGGAAGCTCGTGTATTGCACCATGGACAACAACGCTTGGGGGGCGCCCACACGGGGTGCCCCCCGCACAAGCACACACACACACACAATGCCCGGGGCGGCTCTTTGGCGCACTAGTTGCAGACATGCTGCAGGGCCCAGTGGTCGATTTCGCACGCACGGCAGTAACGCACAGGCGACCGAGGCACCGGCACGTAGTAGCTCTGCTGGGGCTTGGGCTCGGGCTTGGGCTCGGACTTGGGCTCGGACTTGGGCACGGACTTGGGCACGGACGTGGGCACGGACGTGGGCGCGGGCTTGGGCGCGGGCCTGGGCGCGGGCTTGGGCGCGGCGTCCGCCGGCTTCGGGGCGCGCTGCGCGCGGGGCTTGCCGCCGGGCGCGGCGTTACGCGTGCCGGAGGAGGGGTTGCGCGGGCCGGTGGGCATGGTCACAGGCTGGGACGGGGCACAGAGCAAAAAAGCTACGGGAGAGACGGAGACAGGGGAGGATGGCAGGGGCCGGATGGTTTCCCCTCGGTCCGAGCGGCTCCGCGCCTCGGGGGCCTTTTATACCCGGCGCCTGGCCGCGACGCCGGCGCGCTTCCCACCACCGGGGTGCGCGGCTCCCACTGCCCCCGGGCCAGGGGCGCCGGCCTCCTCCGGCACGGGCATCCGCCCCGGGCGGTCTCTCGCCCCTGGGGCAAGCGGGCTCGCCAGGTCGGCAAGCAGCAGCCCCCCGCCCCCGCTCGGTCTTCCGGGCCGCCGCACGGTCCATCCTCTTCCCCCGCCGCAGCCACGGCACCTTGGCTGTGGACGCGCGCCCCGGCCCGGCCGGGTCCAGGGCACCGGGAAGGGCATCCCCCTGCTCCCGGCACCCGCCGCCGCCCGCCTCGCCGGCCATCGCCCTGCCCCCTTGGGCTCTCGCGCCGTGCGATGCCCCCGGCCGGCCCGGGCCTGCCCCCTGGAAGGCCCTCGGTCGCCTCCCTGCGCCTTTCTCGAAGGACAGTCCCATCGAACGGACGGCTTCGCCCGGCTAGCGTGCCAAGTTGCCGGGTCTCCGTGCTCGCCCGCCGGGCCGGCCGTCTGTTCGTCCGCTCACTGCGCCCCCCTCGCCGGCCCGGCCTCCAGACCCACGGCCCTCGGACGCCGGGCGAGGGCTCTTCACAACATGCGCATCATGCCGACACCCGGCCGACATGCTCGCCCTCCAGCAACACCGGCACCGGGCGGCCCCTCCCGGCAGCCGCTCCCCTCGCCCGCGCCGAGTTCCCACCCCGCCGCCCAAGCCTCCGAGGGGGGCCCCGCTCGGCCGATCACACGGCACATGGCGCCCCGGCCGCGCCACGGACCCCGCGCCGCCACCCACCCGACCGACGCCGTACCCATCACCCATCCCGCGGCACTCGGGGCCATCCCACGCGCCCGGCCCAACAGGCCTCCCCTCTGGCCCCGCATCGGCCATCCCCTGCCCCGGCGCCTCCCTCGGACGCGGGCCGCCGGTCCCCGTCCCCGATGGACATGCACAACATCCCCCCCCCCCCCCCCCCCGCGCACGGGGCAGAGCCCCAAAAAAAAGGAAACAACAAACAGGCTAATCTAGTTTGCAGATCCCCCCGGAGGAGTGGCCCATGTTTGTTTTCTTTTCTTCTCCCAACGACCCCTTGTCCCCCTTGCCCCCCTTGCCCCCCTTGCCCTGTGCCCCACTCGCGCGCGCGCGAACTCCCAGGTGGAACACCCAACTGCGCCGGAAATCGGGGTGGTCGTGATCTCCATGCCATGCGCGTGGTTCCGCTGGTATCACGAGGTCACCGGACTGCCATCGGGTGGTTTGCGTCCCTCGCATCGAGGCCACTCGACGTGACACTCTCATGCCCGCGAACCGCAGGCCGCGCCCCGGGGGCCGTGCCTATTGGCGCACGCATCCGCACTCCCGGACTGAGCAGGCAACAAGCACCGACGCTCGGTGCGCCAAATGGGGCAAGTTCCTCATGAGTGCGTGTTCGCCTTCGGCACGCCGGGGCGAGGGGGGGCGGGGGCAATGTACCCCGCTCCGGCCCAGGGGCCCCGCCGTTCGCCTCCCCCAATCATGGCGGTTGCGTATTCGAAACTGCCGTGCGCCGGCGCGGCCCAGGAAGAAGAGCGGCCCCCGGCCCCGGGCGATGGGCCGCCGAAGGAAAAGCATATCGCACGCACGGTCCCCTCGCCCTGTCCCTCCGCATCCCCCTGTCTCCCCTCCCTTCCTCGGTCTCCCCTCCCTTCCTCTGTCTTTCCCTCTCCCCCGCACCCAACGGCAAGCCGCCCTGCTTGGGCAAACATGGGCGTCTATGATATGCGACCTCTTATCTCGGGTGTCGGCCAGCTCGTCGATAACCTCCCTCCCGGTGAGGGGGACCAACTGCGGGTCCTCCCGGTGGATCTCAGCAACTTCGTCTACGAGATCCAAAAGAGCAACTCCCTTTTCGTCGACCAGACCCGTAGCATCTGCTTCGACGCGGATTTGGTCGTCCCCTTCCTAGATGTCCTGATCGATTGGCTTGCCGAACGCAAGGTGCGCCCTCTCCCCCTTCCACACACCATCCTACCTGCCACACGTGCCCGTGTCTGACTCCCCCGAGAGGTGTGCCCTGTCCACGCTGCCGCGGGCCAAGGGAAGATCTACCCCATTTTCGTGGCCGATAGCCTGGCTTCCGAGAAGAAGGAGGACGCTTCGTTTAGGCGTTTCAAAGATAAAATCAGTTCCATGAACATGTACATCAGAGCGTACATGAACTTCCTCCAGCAGGGCGACGCCGCCCGGGCGGCCCAATGTCTGCGCGACCTGCCCCACCTGGATGAATGCCAGGTCGGCGAGTGCCCCCCCTCATGCACCTTCTCCGGAGGTAACCGCGAGACAAAGAGCTCCAGTGAATCTTCCGAAACTATTTTTCCCTTCCCCACGTACATCGGCTCGCCGGTCCTTTGGGACGCCATTTCCCATCACCTCAACACTCGTGCCCAGGAGCACCCGAACAAGCTGGCACTCATCGGAAGCTTCTTCGAGGCCGATGACCTCCTGGCTCTGCTGAGCCTCGCCTTTTCCGTGCCCATCCTCACGTACGTCCGCCCGAGGCCGCCGCAGTCCTTGCCAATGCCAACCGGCCCGTCCTCCACTGACACTCGCCTTCCCTTCGCGCTTTCCCACGGGCCGGCCGGCTCGTTGGCCACCACCAGTGGCGATTCCGACGCCTTCATCCAGGGCTACGGCCAGATCTCCTGCCGGTCGATCTTTCGCCGGCAATTCATCCTCACCCGCTCGGGGAAGGATTCCCGGTCCTTCGGGCCCTCCGATACCTACTCGCAGCCGGTTCCCCACAAGTTGATGCTGTCCCGCCATGTGGCCGAGCAACTGCACACCACCGGTGCGTTGCGCGCCTTCGCACACGGCTGTGCCATTTTCCTCCTCCCCATTCTCGCCCCTGCCCCCCGTCCTCCCGGCCCCCGGTCGCCATGCCAAGCAGCTGGCATCACCTCCTCAAGCCCTTGCCCCCCTCTGCCATCCGGAGCAGCAGCGGAACCCGGGCCCGAGAGAGGGGCCAAGCAAAACTCCCCACAGCTCCGTCTACTTACCATCCATTCTGCCACACGACAAACCCAGTCACCAAGCTTGCCTGGCTGCCTCTGATCCATGGATCGGATCTCGTCGACGCGAGGACCTTCCTCCGAGACTTCCTCCCGGTTGATGTGTCATCAGATGTACACATTTCCCGGTATTTCAACGAGGTTGCTCTTCATTTGGAGTCCATAAAGGAGACGAACTCCACACCCCCCGCGAGCCGCTCAGCCCGACACAGGCCGGGTGGCAAGAACAATAACAAATCGAATCCCGTGAAGCATCTCGGTTTGGAGGATGTTCGCCGGCTGCTCGCCGCCCTGCCGGAGCCGGCCGAAGTCCGCGCGTGCCATGCATCCCCGTCTGATAGAGGCCCGCCTGCACCTGTCGAGCCGCCGGCCACATGGCGTACCAATCGCGGTCTCCTTGCCAAGACTGTCCAGAATCTCGACCTGTCCAGCAATCCCGTCCTCCGTATGCTGCGAAGCCACCAGTCCGACCTGGACACCCTGCGCGGCAAGCTATATCCCCCGGTCGAGAGGGGGTCCCTGAAGTACATCCATGATAGTGTGCTCCTCTGCCTTGGCCTGCTCGATGCCTCCCTCCAGGACTCGCCCAAGGCTCCGACGTGGGCCTTTGCCGAGGAGCTGATCACCTATCTTGCCACGAATCGCGTCGCTCGCCCGGAAAGGCCATGGTGTATTTTTGCTCGCCGTCCTCCACCGTCGGTCGTTCCTTCACCCCCGTCGTCTTCCTTGCACCAGCGAGCACGTCGCCCACGCCTGCCCTCGGGTCGGGCAGCACTCTCATCCCGTCGCCTCGCCGCCGGGTCGGAGAACGCCGCCGGGTCTCCGGCGGAATCCGGCCCAGCCGAAGAGTCGCCGGCCTCGGCCATCTCGGACGCCCCTTCGTGCCAATGCCTCAATGCCCTGCACCTGACCCAGGCTCTGCTCCAGCAGTTCACCTACCTGTCCATCTACCACATGGCCTTCTCCTCGGCTCATGCCAGGGTCACCCAGGGTCCGCCCCTGCGGGCTGTCGCCAAATACCTGAAAAATTTGCATGGCTGGGACTATGTCATCAACGAGAGTCTCTCGCTCCTGCCTCACATCACCCATAGCACGAGAACCACCATTTGGGAGCCCGTCCGACAGGCGCGTTTCCTGATGTGTGCTTTGGCAGTCTCGGAATCGGCCGCGCGCCCCGGATTCGTCAGTATCAATGGCATGAACCACAACTACTACGGGCCCCTCATCTATCAACGCTCTCAAGAGCCAAACGGGACCCCTTTGCCAGCAGATGCCCCCTCGGACGGTGGCATTCCGCGGCGCGAAGCCAACCCGGATCCGGTGACATCGCTCCCCGCCATGCAGGGCGACTCGCCTTCCCAGGACAAACGAGAAACGGCGCTTAGATTCAACATCGTGCCACATGCCTCCCGTGTCTTGCCGCTGCTGAAAAAGGTGGACCGTGCCCTGGGGTCGGCCGATCCCAACATGGATACCATCAGTCCCATACTCCTGGCTGTCATCCTGGCCAGCACCGGCGCCCGCTTCGCTCGGACATCCCATCGCCCCGGGGAGAAACCCACGACAGCCACTTCCTCCCTCCATCGGGCAAGAGAAGCCCCCTTGGATGTTCCCCACTCTCCCTTCTATTACCGGGAGGAGGAATGCCTCAGGCGCCTGGATGCCTTGCTCGCCGCGCCTGGCCAGTGGCCCCCTGGCGCCTTCGACAACATGGGCATGGACAAGCACGAAATTAAAGCCGCCAAAAGGGCCCTGTCCAACCCTGGGGACACTGGCAATCTCGAGGAGACCATCCGCTGGGCTTTGAGGCAGATGGAGGAGGCGTTCATCGGAGCCCAGACCCCCCCGATGGATCTCCTGACACCTGCCGGCCTGACTGGCTGGCTGGAATTGACCCACACCGTGGACCCCCCATCGGCCGAGGATGCCATCCAAAGATTCAACACCTTTTCCTTGGGCCAGGCGGTCATCTGCTCCTGGCTCGATGCCTTCTCGGCTCTCTCGGGGCGCCGCGACGCGCTGCTGCGTCTCCAGCACAGCCCTCCCAAGAGCGACATCTGCCTTCGCCCGGCCGAGTGCCGGGTTGCCATCTTCCTCCTCGGCATCCTTGCCAACATGTCTCTCTGATGGTGATACACCGGCTGGGCGCCTGGCTCGCCTTGTTTTTTGCGCACCCATATGCCGAGCCATGTTACCGTTCTGCTGCGTGTTCAGCCGGCTTCTCTCCGTCCCCCTTCTTTTTTCTCCCTCTTTCCCCCCCTTTCCTCCCCTCCTCCCGCTTTCCCCACTGCTTCCCCATACCCCGTGTAACCAGTGTGCGGGCTTGCTCCGTGCTTTCATCCAAGCAGCCCCTCAATATACCCCGTGCGTCGACCCTCTTTCGTGGCTCTGGTTGCTTCGCCCTTCGAGCGCACAACAGGAAGACACGGCCGGCAACCAGCCCGCTGTCGAGCATGACGCTCCCGCCGGGCGGGCCTCCGCGCCTGCGCACTGGCGCCTGTTGCCCGGTGCTCGACACAGCAGATCGCCTGGCCGGCCCTTGCGGCGGGCCTCCAGCAGCCCATGCAGGGGCGGATATTTGGCATGGCAACTGCCCCCCGCCCAAGGGGCCCACATCACCACATGCCCTGCCCCGGGGGTCGATGGCCGCCGGGAGGGGCATCTCCTCGGGCACATGGCTGGCGGCCGTGCTCCGGCGGGCGGGGGCGCGGCAGGGGGGCAGCCCTGGCCGCAGCCCCATTCGCGGTGCGTCTCCCCCGGGACGGGCAGAGGGAAGCACGCCTGTTGGCAGTACCACAGCGAAAGTCCAGGCGCCCATGCGCGAGCGAGCAGGCTTGCGCCATCCGGGCACCGGCTCTCATCCAGCCGGCTGGGGGCTCCTCGGCCGCGGTGGCGCATGGGGCCAGCGCGCTACTGGCCGGTCCGCGGGCGCCCCGGCCATCTACCGCGCCACGTGCAATGCCTGCAACTGCGCCACACGCATGCGCCTGCCCACGGCGCCCTGGGCGGACCCGCGCCCGGGGCGACAACCCACCAGGAGAAGGGCCCCCGGCCGCTCTCCGCTGAAGAGCCCCAATGCCCGGCTCGGGGCTGGTGGCCGGCGTCCCCCTGCCGGCCGTGCTACGCATGGCGACCGGCCCCCGGGGCACATAGCAACCGCCGTGGGGAATGGTCCGCAGAGCGAGCTGCATGTGGCGAGGGCGTCTTTCGCACGCGCGCCGGCCCTGCCGTGCATGCGCGCGGACTTGCCCCGAGGGGCCGGTGGTGGGTAGGGGGCGCCTCCTCCAGGAGTGGCCCAGAGCCAGGCCGCGGCCCAGCACCGGACACGGCGTCCCCGGTTCCGGCCATGGGGCGCCCAGGAAATGGGCCCCGCTTTCCCGGGCCCCTGGCGGCCCCGGCCGCCGTGGGTGCCGGGCTCGCCCGCGCGCGTCCATGGCACGGGCATGGTCCCCAGGGCACGACGGGACGCCGGCGCTCCAGGCCACGAGGGTGGCCTCCATCGGGCTGTGTGGCGGCCGGGGCGGGCTCGGGAACGCCTGTCGCCGCGTGGCGCCCTGCACGGCCCCGGGCCCGGGCTTCTCGCCGTGCCTGCCTCTCGCCATGCAGACCCTCGCTTCCGAGGGGCCACCGGACGACCAGGGCCCTGGCACAGCCGAAGCCGTGGCTCCGACGCCCGGCGCCGCAAGTCGCCTCCGTTGTCGGCCGGGCTTCTCACCGAGCCGACCCTCACGCGCCGTGTGCACATGCCCATGGGCGCGGATTTTCCGGAACCGGATGGGTCATTTTTTGGTTTTGTGCAGCGGCGGGCCTCCTCTATGCCGCGTCCCTGGGGCATGTGTCGCGGGCGGGGAGTCGGGCGAGGGGAAGCTGGAGATCGGGGGCGGGAGAGCGGGGGCGGGAGAGCGGGGGCGGGAGAGCGGGGGCGGGAGAGCGGGGGTGGGAGAGGGGCGGAGATGAATGAAGAGAGAGAGAGAGAGAGAGAGGAAGAGATAGGGAAAGAAAGAGAGAAAGAGAGAGGAAGAGATAGGGAAAGAGAGAGGAAGAGAGAGAAAGAGAGATAAAGAGAGAGGAAGAGAGAGAAAGAGAGATAAAGAGCAAGAGAGACACACACACACACACACACACACGCAGAGAGGGATAGAGGGGAAGGGAGAGAGAGACCGAGACAGAGAGAGGCCGGGGGAGTGCGCAGGAAAAAGGCGCCAGTACGGCCTGCGGCGGGGAAGGCCGCGCCGCCGGCGAGCGATGGCACCCCGCTGGGAGGCGACGCATCGCAGGACCGGTCCGACCGACCCGGCTGCCCCGCTCGAGCAGCCGCCAAAAGGACCCTTTTTTATTTCTCCATCACTACCCCCAGTGTGCGACAGCCCCCCTCCGCCCCTCCGGCCCTGTGCCGAAGGGGCCGCCACCGCCGCTCGGCTGCCAGGCATGCTCGGTGCATTGAAATGGTCTGTCAGCCCCCTACGAGGGGGTGGACCTCTCCTCGCGCCCGCCCGCCGCACGAGGAGGGCCCCCCGGCGGCCCACGCCGGGGACGCCCTGCCGGCCCGAGCGGCCGCGTGCCGGGATGCGCACTGGCCCCGGGGCCCCTACCGCAGGAGGGGGGGGGGAGTATGACTTGCGACCATCGATCTTCCACGGGGCCACGCCGAAGTCGCCCGGGCGGGAGGTGGTCTTTCCCCCGGCGGCCGGGCCTCCCTTCGGATGCTCGGCCAGCCCTTTGCCGCGCGTGGCCCCGGGGCCGACACGGGCACACGCGACGCCACACGGCCGGGCCACGCCGGCCAGCACCCGGCCTCCGGCCGACCGGCGCCGCGCGGCGACAACCACCAAACGGGCCCTGGCCGGCGGGGACACACCCTGGCAATGGCCTGCACCCCGGGCGCCCACACGCACGCTAGCCCCATTCGCCGGGGGCAAAAAAAAAAAAGAAGCCCACATCACTCGCGCATTGGCCCGGGGGCGGGGGAGCCACCGGGCGCGTGTCGACCGAGCGCCCCAGACGGAGAAGCGGAAATGCCGACGCCCGCGCAACGACCCACCCGGCCGCCCGGCAGGCCATATCCCCACCCGCCCTCGCCCCGCCGCAGCACTGATGCCCCCCGGTCCCGGACACGCCCCCGCCCCCCGGGGATGCCGGCGGATCATGCATCCGGGGGGCCGCCCGCCGGAAATCACAATTCCCGGAATGTCCCATTCCGCCCAATCGGGAAGTGACCGTGCTTTCGTGCCAACATCCCGTCCCTCCCGGCGTTTGCGCCGGCCGGAGACCCCGCCAGGCCCCTCGCCCAGGCCGGCAGGGGGGAGGGGGGAGCCGCGCCCAGGCCAGCACCCTCGCTCCCCCCGCCCCCTCGCACAAACACACAGGCGCTCAGCGTCGGACGCCCGGCTGGCTGCCTTGCCCCCAGCCAGCGACCTCCGCGCGGCCCCGGCATTTAGACCGAGCCGGGGGTCGCGGCGAAGACCCCGGCGTGGGGCCCGCCTCGCGGAAGGGCCCACCGCCCGCGAGGCCCCCTGCCGCACCCAGGCCCCCTGCCGCAACCAGGCCCCCGGTGCCTGGCCGCACGTGCCTTTCCCGAATCGGATGCGCGCCTGCCTCGATCCCTCCTGCGAGCCGCATGCCCCCGCCCCGCCTCGCGGAAAAAAGAGGGCACATGTCTTCGGCCTGTCCCACATGCCGCCCGCCCACCCTTCGCTGTGGTCGCCGTGGCTACCGTCCGCGGCGGCGACTCGCTCCAGCCAGCTGGGTCCGTCCGGACCCGGGTCGCCCCCCATCCGGCCCGGCCCAGCAGGACGCACCTGCGCGTGCGCTGTCCCCACTGCCCACCGCCCCCCGACCTCTCCCCGATCGCGGCAAAGACGAAGGTGTCCAGCGGATGGTCGGGTGCATTACATCGGCATGCCGACGGGCGGCAGGGGCCGGGCCGTCGGGCCCGGGCCGCCTGCTTGCATGCCGGTCGCGACGCACACCCGCAAGCGAAGGCATGCACGCGCGCGCGCGCGCGCGCCCCCCGGGGGCTCACAGGCCCAGGGACAGGACCGCCGCCAGGAGCACGCCCAGGGCGCCGGCAATGCCAGCCGCGCGGTACCCCGCCAGCGACCCGGCCGAGTTGCAGACGAAGGGCGGCTGAGTAACCACGATCTGGGCTCCGTACGATGTGCCATCGATCACCTGGCACGAGGTCTTGTGGGCCATCATCGTATTGTCGCAGAAGGTTCGGTCGCCGCAGTTCATGATGTCGAAATACCGGTGGGTGCAGGATTCGGCGCACAGGAGATCCGGGAAGGAGCTGCACTCCTCGCCGAACTTGTTCAGCAGCCGGGTCTGCTCGTCCGAGAAGCACTCGACCCGGGCCGCGGCCACGGACACTGCCCGGGCCCAGGCCGAGCCAGCACCACGGGCGGAGGTCGACCGACAAGCGAAAGTCAGCACGCACGCACACCAAGGGCCCTCGGCGGGGGGAGGGGGCAGCGCCACGCCCGCCCGGGGGAGAACGTACCGGCAAGCGCCGCCAGGAGGAGCAGCCCCAGCAGGAGGGACGGCCGCGGACGAGGCATGACTGGGGGCATGGTGGAAAGGGGGGAATAGCGACACGGGGATGGGGGCACGGGGGAGAGGCCACTACAGCGGGTTGCTGGCCGACCAGAGCACTGGCAAGCGTCGCCGGCCCTCCCCTTTTATAGGCCCCTCGGCGACTGTGTCGGGATGCGCGGCCTCGGCCCGGGCCAGCCGCCCGGCCGGCTGGTGCTCCGGCGGCGCCCGGTCTGCCCGTGTCCCTGGGCCAGGGGAAGACACACAGCCGGCTCCCGCACCGCTGGGCCGCCCGAGAGAGAGAGAGAGAGAGAGAGAGAGAGAGAGAGAGTCACGGCCAGCTGGATGCGCAGGCTCTGCGCACCTCGCGCACACAGATCGCCCGTCGCCGCCCGGGAATCCGGCACACAGGCCACCGGCCACGCCCGAGGGCCAGACCGAGGGGAGGGGACACGGGGGCTGCCCGTGTCCCTCGGCGTGGGAGCCGGGCATCTGTCGTGGCCCTGCGCGTCTGCCAACACGAGCCTTCCCCATCCGGCGGCCATGTTGGCATTTTTGCGCGGAGACGCAGAGGTCCCCACGCATTGACGGCCAGTAGCCAACGCGCGCTCCCCACAACATGCGCAAAGCACCCCCATCGCCCCGCCTCTCGGGGCTGAGCGGGCCCGGGGGGCGTTCTCGCGGCATGCCGACCGGCCGCCTGCGCCACACCCGCGCGGCATGCGCCTGGTGTCCATGCGGCGCTCGGCATGCCGCTGCCTCTTGGCTCCGGAGCAGGACCGACCGAAGCAAGCGCCTCCCCGGGCCCGGTCCATTGTCTAGTTCGGGGACCCATACATGCACATGCACGCACACATGCACACACACATGCACACACACATGCACGCACACATGCACGCACACACACACACACACACACACACACATGCACACACACATGCACACACACATGCACACACACATGCACACACATGCACACACACACATGTACACACATATAGTGCGGCGGCTGACGCCCAGCCGGCGCCCCACCGAAGCCCAGGCACCCCAAAGTGTGCGCCCGCAGGCAATCCCAGCCCCGACGTCGACCCCGCACCCGCCGCCAAAACGCCCCTGCCACCAGGCACCGAAAGATGCCAGGCACCGGGGCACCCACTGGCGCGCCAGTGGGTGCCCGGATGCCGCCGAGCAGAATGCTCCATCGGTGCCCGAGGCCCCCATGCTCCCGGGTGGCCCGGGGTCCTCCTGGGGCCCGGGCAGGCGGTCGCCCCTGGCTGCCGACACACCCCGCCCCGCGCACATGGTCCGGCTTCTGTCCCCCCCGAGTGGATCCCCGGAAATGGCCTCACATCCGCGGGGCGCTGCCCCTGGCCCGGCATGTGACGGCACCCCTCCGCCCCGGCAGCACGCGCGCTCGACCCCGCCCATGTCCTCCCCCGCTCTTTCCCGCGCCCCCCATAACCGGCACATGACGATGGCCGCCCGCCGGACGCCGGGTGTACCACCGCCGGGCCCACAGCCTCGGCCGGTGGCCCGGGCACGGCCGAAGACCAGCCGCGCCCCCGACAGGCCCCGGGCCCCCCGAGGCGGGGACATTCACCGGGCGGCCCGCGCGAGCACACCCGGCCCGCGCAGCGGCAGCCAGCAGCTCACACACACCACGCGGCAACCGGCGAGGACACCCCACAAAACCCGGCAGGGGCCGAGGCAAATGAAAAATACCATGCACATCGTTGTGTCTATTTTGGCCAAGGATCGCCACGCCCCCCTCTCAGGGCAGACCGCCCACGGCGACATACTGCCCGGCGCAGCGCTGGCGGAAGGTGGCTGCCGGCGGCCGCCGGCCGGGGTCCTCCTGCCAGGCGGCCTGCACCAGGTCCCGGGCCTCCTGGCCCAGGGACTCGACGCTCGGCCGGGCACCGCCACACACGGCACGCACGATGTCCTGCATGCCCATGCCAGCCCAGGGGACAGCCCGCGCCAGGCACTCGCCCAGCATGACCCCCGCCGCATACATGTCCACCGGGAAGAAGAGCCCCGGGTCCAGGGGGACCGCCCGCTGGAAGACGTCCACCAGCTCCGGCGCCGCATACCGCACCGACATGGCATTCAGCTCGGGCATGCTGTTCACCAGGGCCGACAGCCGGCTGGCGCTCAGGTTCCTGGACGTGCCCAGGTCCCCGAGGGCCGCCCGCCAGGAGGAGCCCGCCTGGCTGACAAACACATTGCCCGGCTTCAGGTCGCAGTGGGCCACCCCGTGCGCGTGCATGGCCTCCAGCCCGGCGGACCACTGCTGGCAGATGTCCCACAGCTGGGCCGCCGACAGCTCCACCTCCGAGTGCAGCAGCGTGGCCAGGTCGCTGTCGAAGCGCTCCATCACAATGGCCGGCGGCTGGTCGCTGTACCCGAACAGCCGGACGATGTGGCCGTGCTCGCGCAGCAGCCACATCAGCGCCACCTCGTTCTGGAAGAGGGCATGGTGCACCGGCTGCATGGCCTCGGCCTTCATCTTCTTCACGGCCACCACCTCCGGGCAGCCCAGCCGGGCCACGATCCCGGCCCCGACCGCCTGCGCGGCGTACACCCACGCCTGCGTCCCGGCCCCCAGCGGCTCGTCCAGCGGCCGGAAGTCCACCGCCACGTCCACCAGGATGGCCCCGGGCAGGGCCAGCTCCACGATGGTGTTCAGCATGGTGGCGTCCTCGTCGTCGGCCGGCGCCTTGCCGACGGCCTGCCCGCGGCGCCGGCGCACCAGGAACAGCACCAGCAGCACCAGCAGGATCAGCAGCAGCAGCAGGCCCACGCCCAGGCCCACGGCCAGGCCCACGCGCGAGGACTTGGGCCTGGAGGAGGAAACACAGTCACCCTCCTCGGGGCCGGTGCAGGAATCGGTGCAGCTCGCATGGCAAGGGGCGCACGCGGCCGGCTGGCCATCCGCATCGGCGAAGTAGCCAAGAGGGCAACCTTCCACACAGGCCGCCCCATCGAGCAGGAACCGGCCGGCGGCACACCGGTCGCAGGTGCCGATGTCCGGGCAGTCAAGGGCCCCGGAGGCGGTGGGCTTGCAGCCGGGCTGGCCCGGGCCCGGGGTGCACGCGTCGCACCCGGCCGGGCAGCCGAGGCACACGCCGCCCACCGGGGCCGACGCCCCGACGCAAGCCGTTCCACAGGCACCCTCATCCGGCCGCAGGAGGCCACCAGTGCACCCGGTGCAGAAGGTCCCCGACCCGTGGCAAGTCCGGCACGACCCGTCGCAGGGCTGGCAGGCGCTGCCGCCCGGCTCGGCGAAGGTCCCCTCCGGGCAGGCGGCATGGCACCCGCCGAAGTCCAGGAAGTGGCCCGGCTGGCAGGCGCTGCAGGTCGCCGCGCAGGCCGCCCCGAGGACGTGGCATTCCGTGCAGGCGGCCGGGCAGCCGACGCACCGGCCGGAGGCCGCGCAGCCCGCCCACCCCGCCGGGCAGCCAGCACCACACAGCCCACCCGGCAGGACCAACCCACCCCCCCGGCAACCGGTGCAGGCACCCCCATGCTCGCATGTGGCGCACGATGCGGCGCACGGCATGCACACGCCGTCCACCAAGAAGAAGCCCCCCGGGCAGCCGAGCAGGCACTCGCCGCCCAGCAGCACCCGGCCCGCCGGGCAGCCGGTGCACTCATCCAGCCCGGCCCCGCGGCAGGCGGCGCACGTCGAGTGGCAGGGAAGGCATGCGCCCTGGCTCTCGAACAGCCCGCCCGGGCAGCTGGCATGGCAGCCATTGCCCAGCAGCAGCGGCGCTGCGGGGCCGCAGCTCAGGCAATGGTCAGCCCCCGGGCCAGAGCAGGTCCCACACGACCCATGGCACAGGGAGCACAGGTTGCCCAGGGGCGTGGTGGTGCTCGGGCAGGAGGCCACGCACTGCGGGCCGGCCAGCAGCCACCCGCGCTGGCACAGCTCGCACGTGTCCGGCGCCCCCGCGCAGCTGGCGCAATGCTCGGCACAGGGCGAGCACCCGGCCGGCGAGGCGTGGTACCCCACCGGGCAGGCCGGCACGCAGCGCACCGGCGACCCGCCGGCCGGCAGGGCCAGCAGGCCCGCCCCGCAGTCCGGCAGGCACTCAGTCGAACGGGTCCCGGCGCACTGGTCGCAGGACACATGGCACGGCAGGCACCGCCCGGCCAGGGCCACATGCCCCGGGGCGCAGTGCTGCACGCAGTCCTCGTCCTGCAGCACGCCGCTGGCACAGCGCCAGCAGTGCTTGTCGCTCGGGCCGTTGCACGTGGCGCAGGCCAGGTCGCAGGGCTGGCAGGCCCCGCCGACGGCATCCCTGTACTGGCCCTCGGCGCAGCCGGACACACAGGCGCCCACGCCGGGGCCGGCCTCCACCAGGTCCAGCCCGGCGGCACAGCCCGTGCACTGGTCGGCCTGGCCGCCGGCGCAGGTGGCACAGCTGACGTCGCACGGCTGGCACGACTCGCCATTGGGCCAGGCCCCCGGCGGGCAGTCGGCCACGCAGGCCCCATCGCGCGCCAGGAGCAGCCCCGGCTCGCAGGCCAGGCACCTGTCCATCGTGCAGGAGAGACAGCCCAGATCACAGGGAACGCAGGCGCCCACGCCGGCGGACGCCTGCCCGGCGGCCCAGCCAAAGCCATCGGCACACACCTGGCACCGGCCGGGCTCGCCGGTGCACAGCTCGCAGCTGGCATCGCACTCGGCGCACCGGACATCACCGGCATACTGCCCCGGCAGGCAGGCACTCCCACACAGGGACCCCGGCTGCTGGTCGACCCCGAGGAAGATCAGCCCCGGCCGGCATGCCGAGCAGCTGCCGGCATCTTGACACCCGTCGCACGACCCGTCGCACGCCCGGCACGACCCATCGCCCCCGGGGAAGTACCCCCGGGCACAGGCCACACAGGCATCCGCCGAAGTGCAGGACACGCAACCGTCCGGGCACGGGGCACAAGTCCAAGTGCTGGAATCCGGCCACATGCCCTCCGGACACGAGCTCACACATGCCCCAGCATGAAGCCAGCTGCCCGGGACACAGGCCGTACAGGCGGCCGGGTCGCCGGACCGCACGCACTCGCTGCAGGGGTCCGCACATGGCAGGCACCGGTCCGGCTGGTCGCCGGCCAGGCCCTTGCCATGGCCACCGACACACTGATCGCACACGTACTGGCCGCCCGGGCCGGGCTCGGCCCGGCACACGAGGCACGTGTCGTGGCACTCGCACCGGCCATCGGGCCCGGGGAAGGTGCCGCCGGGGCAGCTGGCCACACAATCAGCCGGCAGCCCGGGCAGCCAGTGCCGACAGGCAAGGCAATCACTCGCCATGGGCCCGGTGCACCCGGCACATGCCGCATGACACGGCTCGCACTGGGCCCCATACGTGCCGGCCGGGCAGGCCATGTCCATCGACAGGGTCACCAGCCCCACCGTCGGCGCATACCCCAGCAGGGTCAGCCGGCTGCCCGACACCGGCCCCGGCTCGAGGGCCCCCTGGACGACAAATTGCCACAGCGGCACATTCCCTTCCAGGTGCATGCTGGCCGGCAGGGGCATGATGTGCCCCGGCAGGAAGGCACACTGCCCGGCGTCCAGCTGGGGACAATGCAACAGGGCAACCCCGATGAAAGTGCGCGCCAGCAGCAGCAGCGCACTCGGATGAGCCAGCCCCCCGCCCGGCAGCCGAAGCTCCTGATAGTAGACATTCGCGTGGACCCCGTTCGGCAGGTACTGGTACGTCGGGAAGGACCCGATGGTTTGCCAGGAGAAGGGCAAATGGATGGACCGGCCGGCTGGCAGCATGTCCCCCGGCAGGGAAAGGATGTCCCAGTTGGCCCCGAAGGTGTGCGGCAGCACCAGCCACCGGGGCAGCCCAGGCCCCCGGTAGAGGGTCATCGGCCGGAAGAGCCGGGTGGGCAGGGCCGGCGAGCGCGACACCGCCATCTCCAGCATCGGACCCTGGCGGTTGGTATCCTGGCTCAGCAGCTGCTCCGGCATGAGATTCAGCCGCCAAGATGTCCCCTGCCACAGGACCCAATCCCCGAGGGTCGGGTCGGCGCGCATGCCGAGGCCCGACACCGCCGGCATCCTTACCATCCCCAGGCCGGTGATGTGGGTCCCTTGCAGGCGCCGGGTTTGCGGATTCACGCGGTAGTAGAAGTTCGAGCCGGACAGTGCCACCAGGTGGTTGGCGTCCTCCCGGAGGACCCCATAGCAAATGCCCAGAGCCAGGTCCACCGGGCTGGCCGGCTCGGCGGCCACGCACGGCCCCCCCGACCCGGTGCATGTCAGCCAGGTGAGGTAAAATTTTTGCTCCGGTCCACAAAAGAACACCGCATACTCCCACCGGCCATTGACCAGGAAGGGCCCGGCCTCGGCAAAGGTGGTCACCGTATCGAGGGACCAGTCTCCCAGCAGGCGCACTTCCACCGGCACCACCGGCGCCCGGCCGATGTCCCCGGCCGGCAGGATGTACGCCCGGTTTTGCTGGGTGAAGAGGAGCATCCCCGGGGCCGGGGCATCGCTGCTGGCCGGCAGCACCGGCAGCCCGGTGCCCGGGTCCACCGACAGCCATGACTGCGCGGCCGCCGTGATCCAGTCGCCCGGCTCCAGCCAAGGCGCCGGGAGTTTGGCCAAATCCGAAAGCCCCACCTCCAGCCGGACGGCCCCGGCCGCCTGGCAGACGCCCACCACCGGCAGGAAGCCCTCCGAGCAGGCGCCCCGGCAGACCGTGCTGCCCCCGGGGCCGGTGGGCTCCGGCAGGAAGCCATGCTCGCACACGAGGCATGTGTCCGGGGTGCATGTTCGGCAGTTGGTCTGCGAGCAGGGCCGACACACGTGGGTGTCCTTCGAGAAGGGGGCCTCATCTGTGGTGTCCGAGGGGGGGCAAGGGGGCATGGGGGTCATGGGGGGCATGGGGGGCATGGGGGATGGCCATATCAACCACGAGCGCCGATGGTCGGCGGCGGTGGCGCGGGCCACACCGCGAGGCGGAGGAGAAGGGGGACGTCGAAAAGACGGAGGGGAGGAAAGACACCGGGAAGGCCGAGGGGAAGGAGGAACACATGGACCACACCGGGAAGGCCGAGGGGAAGGAGGAATACATGGACCACACCGGGAAGGCCGAGAAAAAGGAACACATGGACCACGCCGAGAAGGCCAAGGGAAGCATGGCGCCACCAGGACAAGCAAGCACACGGAAGGGCAGGTCAGAAAATGGCCAAAGAAGACACAGGACACAAAGAGCAGGAAGAAGAACGGCACGCACCCGCCGGCCGGTCGAGGTACCAGCCATCCGCACAGCCGGCACACATGTGGTTGGCCGAAATGTACGGCGAGTCGGTGTACCCCGGAGCACAGCCCCACCCACGCGCCAGGCCGGAGGACACCGTCGCGCTGTCACACACCAGCGTCCGGTCACTGTCACACAGGAAGGCCTCCGAATCGAAGAGCACCTTCACCCCGGCCACAAGGGTCCACCGGTGGGCCCCGGTCACGGTGACCGCCAGCCGCGCCAGGCGCAGTACATCACGCGAGAGGGCCACCTCCGACGGGAGGACCACCCGACGCAAGCCCAGCCCCATGCCCAGGGGATGGACCTGCCACAGGCGGTCGCGCGGATCGCCCGCCCGCGGGGACACCACATAGAAGGGCCCCGGCGCGTCGTCCATCGCGAAGGCGGCCGACGCCAAGAGGTAGGCCCCGTCCATGGGCACCGCGGCCGGCAGGGACACCGTCACCGGGACCAGCTGCTCGGCCGGGGTCCCCTCGAAGCAGGCAAACACCGCCACATGGCCGGTCGCCAGCAGCACCGCCACGTCCGAGCCATCCGGGCAGCCGCTGGCCGAGGAGAGGATCCGCGTGCTGGCCACATGCACCGGCTCCCCATCGAGAGGCTGCCGGCGGGAGGAGACCCCCCCATCGCCGGCCACCGCCAGCCGGACAAGGCCCTCGCTGGCGGTCGCCAGGAAGAAGGCCCGCCCCGGGCCCGCGGCCGCCGTGGCCAGCCCGACCACCGGGTCCACCCCATGCTGCATGATTTGCAGCCCGGTCGAAGTGACCATGCCCAGGATGATGGTGCCTTCTTGACCCGGGCTGTCATCCGCCCAAAGCAGCAGCGCCTCCAGCGGGCCCGTGGCACTGGCCGCCAGCAGCCTCACCGCCGATCCCGGCAGGGGGAACACATTTGCCGCGGTGAAGAGCCCCACCTGCGTGGGGGTATGCTCCAACACCAGCGGCGTCGGGGCATTCGGCCGGGCCAGCAGGATGAGGTGCTGCACGCCGGCCGGGTTGGACCGCGACGAGGTGGAAGCCTGGCGGGTGTCCGAAAAGAGCGGCCCCCAGCGGTACTCGCCGGAATGCCGCATCGGCGCCATCTGCTCGTAGTGCCAGAGGGTGGTGGCCGAGCTCCAGTGCGAAGACACCGTGGCGCTGCTCCCCAACGTGGGCAGCCCCATGAAGTAGGTCGTCCGTGTGAAGGGGTAGCTGGCCAAATGCAGGAACATGTCCTGCCCGTGGGACGGCGCCACAAGGGCCAGCACCGTCAGCAGCAGCGCATAGCACAGCCACGCCGGGCCCATCGGGCCCGGGGGGGGACCGACTGCCGGCCGCTGCGCCATGGCGATCCGCGTGCGCGAATGCGCGTGCAACCTGCTTTCCGGTGGGCCGGCGCGCCAACGAGAGGGCGGAAGGGGCGAGCGAGAGAGAGAGAGAGAGAGAGAGAGAGAGAAAGAGGTAGAGGGGCGAGAGGGGCGGGGAGAGGAGGGATGGCTCGACCCGGCCACGGCGCCGTCGGCAGGCAAGGTGCACTTGGACGGCCTGCTGCGCGGGTGTGGTCGGCCCCGGCTCCGCCCGGGAGACTCGCGCGGCGCCCCCCCCCCCCCCCTAACACGCCGGAGCAGGCCCCACCAACCCGCCCGGGACCGACGATCGGGCAACTTTCCCCCCGCCGGCGCCCCACGCGCCGGGAGGACCGAAGGGGCAAGGGGCCGAGGGGCGGGAACACCCATATGGCGCCGGGGGCCCGGGCGCCCGCCGCGCGGCCAACGCATGTGCCAATGCATGTGTCCGCAAACGAGGGCCAATATGCCGGGCACAAGCAGGCGCCCGGCGTGGCGGACCGGGCCCGGGACCGCCGGGGCAGCCCGCCGTGTCCCCCCCTCGCCGGGCGCATGCGAGGGCGCGCAGCCGACTCACGGCCCGGCCGCCCGGCCGCCCGGCCGCGCCTGTAGTGGTATCCCCCAATCTCTATAAACCAAGTCACAGGTTGAATTACAAGATCCCCACGTGAACGGCCCCGTGGAAAATTATGGCATGCTTGAATCGCATTCCTCCTCAGGAGGAATGCGGGGTAGATCGACAGCCAGATGGCCGCCGAGTACCGGGCCAGTTCGGTGGCCCAGGAAAGGAGGGAGACACGCGTGCGCGCGGGGTTCTCAGATCCACCCCACGACCAACCCAAGGTCAAAAGGGG